CACGCATACCTGGAGGGTGAATTTGAAGCCTTCAAGTTGTATTTGGACGCGAAATATTCTTCCGAAATTTCAGTCCTTCAGCTTTTTTAGTCCCCGAGTTAGCAGTTCTCCCTGTCAAAAATTTTCACGCGGCCATACATGCGAACCACGCATGCCTAGTGGTTGAATTTGATAGCTTTAAGATGCGCATGAGAGGGGAACATCCCTTTAAAATTTCGGCCTCCCAGCTTTTCTGGTTTTTGAGTCAGCCATTTTTCTGCCAAAAACTTTCATACGTAAGAACCTTGCATGCCTGCGGACTGAATTCGATAAATTTAAGTTGTACATGAGCTGGGAACAACCCCTTAATATTTCAGCTTTCCTGTTACTAAGTTACTGTTTTCTCCCCAGTAACTTTCATGGGGTCGTACTCGGGAAACACGCTTATCTGGGAGCTGAATTTGAAATTTTTAAGTTCTATGTGGACGGGGAACATAGCCTCACAATTTCAGCTTCTTAGCTTTTTTCGCTCCCAAGTTAGCAGTTTTCTCGTTAAAACTTTTACGTGCTCGTACGCGGGGACCAGATGTGCGTGATGCTTGGTACTACGGTCCTGAAGTGACGCTGGCCGGGGAACTCACTGGCAAAATTTTGGCGCCGGAGCTTGCTTAGTTGCCGAATTGAAATACCCGGACAGACGAACACACATAAACAAGCATATACATACGCACAGACAGGGCCATTGCTATATGTGTTTTTGCAATATGCATACATGCAAAAACGCATAAAAAGGAAAATGCAAGTTTTTGAAAATGAAGAAATTTCAGTTCTTCATTGAGAAGTGGGAATGTTGCTTGAGCGTCAAAAAATCCGAATATGTGAATGAACTGGATGTTGGGCGGGGATGAAGGCGGTCGTTCGCTGCAAAATGCATTTGTTTCCGAGTTTGTGGTAAAGCTGAATATTTTTCATACCCACCTGCAAGGAATTTCACTTCCAGGTTGAATTAAAATCACACGTGAATATGGGATATTCTTGCAAAGTTTCAGCTTTGCAGCTTATCTGATAGGCGGAATAGCCACTTCGCTACAAATATCTTTGAACTGCCTAAGTCGTGGCGCAAGTGCAAATCTGAACTCAATTTATGTATACAATTTCCCACATGGGCGATAAACACTGACAAAATTTCAGCCACTGTTTTCCAGCTAGTTTTTGAGTTAGGACAGTACCAAGTGCAAACTTTGACGTGGTCGTATGCGCTGGGTAAGCGTGCGTGACAGCTGAATTTGAAATCTTTCGCTAGCACATGCACAGGAAACATCCCTGCAGAACTTCAACTTTGTACCTTGCCCGGTTCGCGAAATCGTTTCCCGCCAAAGAAATTTGCATATTTTTTCAGGGATTCCTACACGAGGTCTAAGCGCGTATGAGCAAAAATTTTAAAACGGGAGGATGACACACGGGGTGGGAACATTTACTCAAAATTTCAGCCTCCCAGCTTTCCTGGTTGCTGAGATGGAAGTGGGTGACAGAGTTCACTCGATTCCGAGCATAGACACACATGCACAGCCGACCTCTCGATAACTTTTCAAGCATAAACATAAAAAAAGTTCGCTTGAATATTTGAGTAGCATCGATTTTTGTGCGTTCCCACCCCATATGTCACCCTTCCGTTTTTAAACTTCCACTCGTAGGCGCCTAGATCTCGCATACGGAGCCTCGAGAAAAATATGCAAATTTCCTTGGCGGAAAACGATTTCGTAAACTAGGTAAGGTAGAAAGCTGAAACTTTCTGTGCATGTATAACATGAAGATTTCAAATTTAGCTTTCGTATACACTTATACTGCGCTTACAGTCACATCAAATTTCGAAGTTGTTGTTGGGCCAACTCAAAAAATATCCTAAAACCATCCTGGAAACACTAGCTGAAATTTTATCAGAATGTTTGTTGTTCATATTAAAAATGGTATGCCTAAATTAAGTTTCAATTTGTACTTGGGCCACGACTTAAAGCACTTCAGAGATATTTGTAGCGAAGTTTCGCTTACCAGGCAAGCTGCAAGCTGAAACTTTGCGAGGATGTCCTATGTTCGCGTATGGCCTTAATTCAGTTTGGAGGTGAAATTCCCTGCACGCAGGCATAAGAAATACTCAATTTTATTTTGTAAACACAAAAGCAAGTGCACAATCCTCTACCGACTTCCTTCAAATTTACACTTTTTCAATAAGCTGAAAAACGGCCGGACTTCATGCAAAAAGCTGATGATCACACGCGCTGAAGGTCCATGCGGTCCCATTATGAAACACCCTGAACTTAGCCAACATCTTTTCCCCCGCATGTGAGAATAGGCTAAAACACAGTCAGTATGAGTCCAAGTGTTGAACTGCGCATGGATTATTATTGCTGTTAGCGATCTGCAAGTTTAATGCAAAAACGCATGATCGAACCGGCAAGCCTGGTGCATAACAAAATGGAAATGCAAAAACGCATAATGCTGACAAGTTGCCCGCCTGTGTATATGCGTGCTCGGAAGCGAGTGGACTTTGTTACTAACTTTCAACTCAGTAACCAAGAAGGCTGGAAGGCTCAGATTATAGCAGCATATTCCCCTTCCCATGTGCCACCCTTTTTAAAATTAACGTTCATGAGCAATTAAACCTCACGTATAGACACCTGAAAAAAATGTGAATTTTTTGGCGGAAAAATGATTTCGAGAACTGGTAAAAGTAGAAAGCTGGAACTTTGCAAGGATATTCTCTGCCCAAGTGTGAGCTAAAGATTTCAAATTCTGTTATTGCGTATGCCTGCGTTACGTGCACGGTCACGTCAGAGTTTTCAGCTGAAACTGCGCCAACTCGGAAACCAGCTTGAAAATAGTAACTATAATTTACCTCGCTCATTTGGGAAACCATTTAGTGAACGCAATATATCAGCCGGGCTTCGATTGATGTACGAACCGCGAAAACTGCTGTTGATGATGGGGAACGCTACCCTAAGTGCTGGTAACGTGGATTTGGGGGAAGGCGGAGCGGGGGGCGATTGATGGGAGGGAGAGGGACGATATGACGTGGGCTTCGGCTGCAGAGGCTCGGGGCAGGGGAGGGGCTGGAGAGGCAACTACAAAAACTCGGTTCTACTGCACAATATACACTTTTTTGTGTGTTTAGTGTTCCCCCAAACGTTGGGTAACTTAAATTTGGAGGTGGTAGGTGGAAGATAGCAACGAAATGGTGCGAATTGACGATGCAGAGACTCAGGGCGGGGAAGCCGAGATTGCTTTTGTTCATTGTTAATTTACTTCCCTCTATAATGCTTTGTTGTTCTGTTCCCTTGCTGTTATCTCCAGTTCCAGCCTGGGGCTCTTGGCTAGTATCGTTATTTCCATTCTTTATTCTAACTCCAATTCCTGCCTCCAAAGCGGCAGTCCTTTCAGCTCCTTATAACTGCACTTCCCAATCAAACAGTACTTCAGCCTCTTCCTGACCCCGGGTTTCCGCACATCTCTCTTTTCTACCCATCATCCCAGAGCTGTGTTGCCCAGCGCTTAGGGTAAAGTTACCCGTAATTTGCTCATTAACCCCACTAAACCCACAAATGAGTGCATTTTGCACAAAAACGAAGGTACGTCACGCGGCCGAGCCGAGCATCAGTAGTTGACTATTCCAGTCCCTTTCTCGTCACGAGTCCTGCTGCTCAAACCAGCATTACTCCGCCTCTCTTTTCACCCACAGTCATCCAAACTACATTATCCAACACTCGGGGAACGTTACCCAAGCACTTGGAGAAACGGCATCCAATGACAACGATGGTGGCTCTTTAGTGCAGGAACGGGTGCGTTTCATGAAGCCGAAGCAGGCCGATTTTTAGTAATTATCAAACCGTACACCTAAGTGAAATTTCGAATTGTACTTGCTCCATACATTAGGGCTTGTCAGAGACATTTGTAGCAAAATGGCCATTTCGCATACTAGACAAGATGCAAGGTTGGAATTTTGCGAGCACATTCTATACTTACCGGTAGTCAAGATACCCGAGGGCTGGTTTTGAGCTCACTAATACCTGCGTGGACGGGGAACATTCCCTTAAAATTTCAACTTTCCAGCGTTTCTGGCTCTCGAGCTTGTAGCTTGCCCGTAAAAAAATTTGGCGGGCCCGTACGTGGGTACCACGCGGTTAAGGGCGCCCATTCTGGGGAATGGGGCCTGTAGATGCATGTAGATTACATCTCCAAAGTTTCAGCCCTGTAGCTTTTGTAGGTCTCGAGATGAAAAATCGGTACAGACGCACACACAGGCGCACGCACACACACACACAAACACGCACACATACACAAACACACACATACAGACAGCCCTCGTCAATATTCGTTTTCTGCACTGCATGGATGCAAAAAACGCATAAAAACGAATGCATATTGTGGATGTATCAAACTGTAACGCAACAACCATTTATACTGCTAACGACATAAGCGGATCCAGCGGGGACGAGGCGGGGGGAGGGCGATGGGTCTTCCACTCCTCTCCTCTCCTCCCTCAGCGGCCCAGGCACCAGTGTTGCAAAAGCCCCTGTCTAAAGCTAAAACTAAAGTAAACTAAAGCCTAAAGTAAATCTAAGTGGCAGTGTTACAGCTCTATTCCTAATTTTTACATAGGGTGAGAGGGGTCTCTCCCCCATCCCCTGACCCCGGGAGTCCGCTCTGGATCCTCCTATGGCTAACGACCTGACTGCCTCAAGTTTAGCGCAAAAACGTATAATCGCACCGACAAGTCTCCTGCTTTGCTTCCTGGACTGAATGTTGCATAATCCCACAAACAACATACAACTATTGTTTCATAAAAAGTTTTAAAAAGATGCATCAGATCAACCTATTTTACTAACAGCCAGAAAAATTGAGAAATCGATGATGGCTCGTGATAAATAACTGAGGCCACCAACAAGGAAATTAGAATCAGGTAAATAATTCAGAGCATCGCTAAAGCTTAAACGGTCAGTAATTGCATAATGTTTATACATAGACTGCTAAGTTGTTTCGCAAGCAGTGAGAATACGACGAACCAACCTATGCTGTCGTTGCAGTTGCCTGTTCAGAATCACTGTTGAGGCCATACGATGCGCATCCGATTTCTGTATAGTAAACGTAACGCGTCCTGCTCCATGTTGTTCCGCAAGCATTGAATATGGTTGACTCACGCTCGAAAATGTTCCTGTAGCACAAATCGGACACATGCATTTGCATCAAATTGATGTTGTGCTGCGTGCCATCCAGATACCGCTATACCACGCCATCTTCAAGGTCATTTGGCCAGCGGGTGCTATTCACAGCGAGTCACTCCTTTCTCCAGCCTCAGAATGTCCATTGCTCGGTACTCTTTTAAATGCTTTTCATTTTAGCCTATTTTTTTCATTTCGGTAAGCCACTAATTTTTACAGCACACGCACTCTGTAGTGGGAGCAAACAGGCCGTTGTTTCTCTTCCGTTGTGCATAAAGAAATCGCTCAAATATTTGGTATATATA